TTCTGAAAACCAAAGGAGATAAGGTCTGTGGCAGGTCCTTCTAGCAGGGGCTCAATAAAGGTTCCTTTCCTTTTCTAGCCTCCATGCCCTGTTCCTGTGCTTGCTGCTCCTTCCTCTTAAAAAGCCATCATCACATTCCTTTCTACTGAACTCCTACCTATCCTTCAAAACCCAGTTCACTCACCACTTCCTGAGCAAAGGCTTTCTGGTCCATCCAGCTAACAGACCCACCACCTCCTGCTTGGCACTTCCACAACATGTTACATAGGGTGCTATGAGGTACTCAGCAGGGCCACCTGGCCCTGCCAAGGGAAGAAGATCAGGGAAGCCTTCTTGGAAGAGGAGGCCTTCAAGGTGAGACTCAAAGGAGGGGTAGACAAAGAGCAGTGGGAAGAGCATTCAGGCAGAGGGAACCATGTGTGCAAAGCAGGCAGCCAGAGAAGGCTTGGTGGATTTGAGGAGTTCAAGTCCTACACAAGGGGCCTTCTCCGAACACCCCAGCTAAAAGAGAACCTGCCACTCCTTAGCCTCACCCCACATGGATTTTCTTCACCACGGCACAATTACTTTGTCTTCATTTGTTTATACAAACTGCTGGTTTAACAGCTGCTAGATTCTGAGCTCCAAGAGGACAGGGACCTGGCCATCTATTTCATTACTAAATCCCTAGCATCCAGCACAGGGCCAGGTACACGGTAGAAACTTATTAAACATTTGTGGTTGAATAAACACTGCCCATAGGAGATACTCGATTTGCCAAATGAGTAAGTGTGGGAATGGAGGCGTGAACACAGCCGTGCATGGATATATATGTACACACACACACACGAACGAACAAATGAACGGATTACCTAATGCACCAGTGCAGAATTCTCACATTCATACAATCAAAGCCCAGAGGCCCGTATCCTGAGCTGCCCCACTTGGTCTTATTAAGCCTCAGAGGTTTCTATCTCGTCTTAGCCCTGGCCATTCAAAGCTTCCTTTCTTATCCGCAGCAACCACGCTTCTATTGTCATCAGGGGCAACAGGCCATTTTTCCGACGCCCATCTACTCTGAGCCCTGGGAGCTCACCAAATTCCCAGCCCTCTTTGAGGAGGTCGGCTGACCCTGGTGCCTGGACCTCTTCTCATTGTAAGGCATTTTTACAGGAGCCTTCTATGGGAATTGTCGGCATTCCATTCTCCCAGAGAGTGGGATGTGAATCTGGCCCATTTTTATTAATTGCAAATTAATGCTAGGCTGGGTGTCTATTTTAGTAGACATGCTTCTCCACAGAGTACGGAATGCGACCCAAAGCAGCACATTGCTCTCATTCTTTCTGCTGACCGACTGTGTGAATATTTTTAGAAGCCACACCCTTTTGCAGTGGCCAGATAAATAATTCCCAGTGCCAGATGTGCTCTTTGCAAATCAACATCAGGCAGGGAAGGGGAGAGGCGCAGCAGCATGGCTCACACCGAAACTTCAGTGACATGTGACAAGTTTACACCAGTAGCATTTTTATAGGCTTCCTGGGCGAAGCCCTCCACCCTCGGAATATGGAAGATGGACCCCTATTTAGAGAGGAGCCAGAGGGGTACATTGCTGCTCATATGCCGCTGGTTGGGAATAGGCCATCCGTGTCAACGGTCCTCCAGGCCAGCCACTGATGACATGGGCTCTCGTGAACGTGGAGGCCAGCTTGTGGCCATGTGTCTGCCTGCCTTTTTTACAAGTGCCCTTTCTAAATATGTTTTCAGCAAAACGCTGAGTCAGGAAGAGCTGAGCAGACACGGCCGGAAGACAAACCAACAGCAGCTGAAACACATTTTAAAAAAACCTTGGAAGTGGGTGTGAGATGATGAAAAGAGAATCTGCCTGGAAGCCAGACATGTGAGTTCTACTCCTGGCTGTCATCCCTTCATGCCAAAATCAAACCGCTTAAGAATACCCACTGTGTGACATGCACTGTGCCACCACCATATCGTCTAGACTGACTTACTGGGTGAGCTTGGGCAAATCACTTAGACTTTCTGGGGGCATAACCATTAAAACAAGAGGTTGGAAGATGACCTTCAAGGTTCTTTCAAGCTCTAGGATGCCCAGATCCTAGCAGCACTCCTGGAACAAGCACAAGGAAGGACCAGCATCAGAGAATGGGAAGGTTTGGTTTTTGTTTAGATGTGTGTGTGCGTTTCACCTTGGGAAATGCCAGGAGTAGAAATTCTTAAGGAAAAAGATATGACCAAACCTTCATTTTTATAATGTTCTGTGTGTCTGCTATTTCCCTACATCATGGACATGGATCCGAGATTGAAGGTCGTGGTCAATCTCACAGAGACCCAACATCACTGCCCTGTTGCTTATGCAAATGAGCCATTCTCCTGGGCCCCTGCCCATTGTTCCCAGCACAAGTGCTTTCAGAATTCTAACCATTCTTCTCCTCCATTGGGGAATTCTATGACTCCGTAGGAAGCTATGTGCCTTATCACTTCTGGTCCGACATCATGGGACCAAGAGGTCACGTTGTACCACAGAACCCAATCCCCGAGCGAGAGGCTCGCATTCCAGGCCTTGTAAAGACTCCATTTCGTTCTGAGAGCTCTGGGGGCAGGTGGCAAGAAGAATCTGCAGAGAAAGCTACCAGGGTGGATGACACCAGTCCTTAGAAAATGTGTCACAGACCAGAACACAGTTCTCTAGCCATGGCCTGACCGCCACTCCCCAGGACCCAAGCACCTTCAGAGCAGCTGACTTGCAGTTCAATTTCCTCTCTGGGGACCAGCCACTTAAGCAGGTGCCTTGGATATTAAGAGTTAAGTGCTAAATGCCTTGACTATAGTACTGTCTAAAATCCTCACGTTTGTCACCGACTCCTCAGGATTGGCCAAAAGCATGGCACACAGTAACTGATCAGGAAATTTTGTCAGTGCTGTTGAGTCCATTCGACTCTTAGCACAGCTGGACCCTGCCCAGTGTTTCTGCACCGTCCTCTCACCTTCCAGGGCTGTATCAGACATTGCTCCACTGATACTCATAGGCCAATTTTTTCAGAGTGAGCAGCCAGTTCCTTCTTCCCAGTCTGTCTTAGTCTGGAAGCTCTGCTGGAATCTGTCCGCCATAGGTGACCCCATGGTATTTGAAATCCCAGTGGTATAGCTCTTAGCATCACAGCAACCTGCAGCCACCACAGTATGACAACTGACAGACGGGTGGTGTGGTTCCCTAACCCGGACAGGGACCCAGGCCACAGCAGTTAGAGCACCGAATCTTAACCACTAGACCACAGGGGCTGGCTGATCCAGAAATACTCAGTGAAAAAAGGGAGCAAATAAACAACAATCCCCAGAGACAGGGACTGGCATCCCTACCAGCCAGATGAGGAAACTGAGGCTTAGTTAGGCAAGTACTCTACCCAAAATATTGCCGGTAGTAAGGGGCAGAGCTGCAACTCAAGCCCAGGCTCTTACACTCCAAAGCCACTGCTGTTAACCTCGGCTCACTGCACAGTGCTCAGGAGCTTATGAAGCTAAACACAGAGTGTCTCACTCAGTCCTCAAAACAAGCCTGTGGGTGTTACTGTCCCCTCATGTTATAGTTGAGGAAACAGGGTTAAATGGCTTTCCCAATGTCAAGCAGCTAGAAGCCACACAGGATGGAATTTTCTAACTCTACAGCCAGTGCTCCTGCTAGAGTTATCCAGCCACTTTGCCAGAAAAGGAGAGACCCTGAGCTTTCCCTTCCTGTTCCTAGGAAGAGCTGCCTTCACTAACTGTCTCCTCCTTCCTCCAGGGACTGCAGAGAAATACGTGATCACGGTCAACCTCTTGCAAGAACAAGAGGTCACCCGGACCTGGCTTCCGGGGGCCTCTCAAAGGATGATGGTGACCAACGGTGGCTGCCATGACCTGTAAACAGAATCCAAACACCTAAGCAACCCCATCCTTCCAAACAAGGAAACGGTCTTCCCGCACTGCCCCCTCAGAGGATAGCAACAACAACAAAAAGTGAGGACGATGCAAGGTCATTCCCAGGCTTTGTCCAGGGACCAGGGATGAGGCACTAACGTCACCAGTGGCCAATTAGAGGGATCTCCTGGTGCAGGGAGTGCTAAGGCCATTTCATAATGAAACCCATGCGGCGAGCTCCATTTATTTTGAAACCGTATTTGCTTATTTTGCAGACGTGATCAAAAGGACATTTGGGGTGCTTGCTCTGCAGGAGGCACTTGAACCCTGTCGGCCAGGAGAGCTTTCTCCAGCTCCGGCAGCAGCCAGCAATAATCCTCTCCATCAGAGGAAACTCTGTCACTCGCGGATATAGTCTTTCCCAACGGCAAACACCACCATCATTTAGTCAGCTTCCCAGTTCCACGGCTGGTTTCACGGGGTGGGAGGGTTAGGAGGGAGAAGGAGGAGACACGGGGTGGCAGTGAGAGAAAAGTGGCAGAAAAGAGTTCCAACTCCAAAATAACCTGGCGCCCTGCTGGCATATCGCGCATAGTGGTTCGAAGGCTGGACTCATGAGTCAGACAGACATGGGTTCCAACCCCAACACCACCACACACACTGTGTTACCGCGGGTAAGTTCCTGCCTCAGTTTCCTATCTGTGAAATGATGTACATAACAGTACCTATCTCATGGGGTTTTTGTGAAGATTGAATTTAAGCGATATCAGGCAAATATGATACAAAATACATAAGCAATGTGTTACTGTGATAAGTATTTTTACGGTGATGATTGTAGACTAGGAGCTTCCTGAGGACAAGGACTGTATCTTCGTCATCTCTTCTTATCCCAGCATGAAGAGCAACGTCTGGCAGGTAGATAGATAAACGCTTGTTGAGTTGAATTGTTTGAACTGATCTGAGGGCTCAAACCCAGTGACTCTCCCCAGCCGCCGGCCAGGGAAGGAAGTGGCTGCCTTATTTTTAGGCTGCAGCTTGGAGCATCTTAAGCCCTCACCCGGCTGCACTCCCCAGACCCTGAATATCAATCAACGAGGCAAGAGCTTTACCTTAATATTGCAGTTGTCATCGAGCAGTATATTTTCCAGCTTCAAGTCCCGGTGGACCACGCCGTTCTGAAACGAGAAGACAGGCAGGGAATTGAATGGGAGCAGTTGGGATGAGAGAGAGAGAGAGAGAGGAAAGAGGAGGGCCAGCAAAGGGAAATGTTTGACAGATTAAAGAAATGCACCAGCCCGGTGGTCCTCGCCTCCTTCCTTCAGGGCTGCTCTCACTGTCATGAAGCTCCCTGCCAGCGACCGGCGACAGGAGAGCATTAGTCACTTGCTGTGTGGTTAAGGGAAAAATGACTGGAATCCATTCTCCCCCAGAGCCTGTAAAACAGCAGGGGGATTCTTTGTTGGAATGTAATTCCACTGTGTGAAAGCAATATAGTCCCAGGCAGCCGCGAACAATGTCTGTCTGTGATGTGATTGCCAGGGAAGAAGATGATTTCTCTGCTGGGGACTCAGAATGTGGGGCTCGCAGACCTTGTCTGTCTGTCTGTCTGTCTGCCTGCCTCCCCAATGCTGGAAAGTGGCCTGGCTCAATCTATCTGGACTCCTGAAACCAATCCAGATCTGTCCTGAGGATAACAGAAGCACTCCCAAGAGGTTATTTCCTAAGCAGCTGGGAGGGAAGACTCTGCAAGTCCCTCTCTGCTCAGCAGGACTCGATGTGGGGTGAAGGATGAAGGTGGCAGAGGCCAATGAGCCTGTAGCCACTGAGCTGGCCAAAGCAGGTCACTGCCATACTGGTGACCTTTCCATTCAAGGAAACTCTGGCAAGGCTGGAAGCTGAAATACAGTGACAAGCAGACGGCCAGCTAAGGTGAAAAGGAGTCATTAACCAATAGGCTGTGGGTCTATCCAGCAGTAACAAGTGGCTTGCTCAATTCTTTTTAAAACCCCATGATCTTTTGGTGGGGGGGGGGGCAGGAAGAGAAGTGGAAATGAAAGAACCAACTGCTTTGGGCTGGGCAGATAAATAGCGATGGGTAAGTTTTAAACATCCTTCAGCATAAAGGACATTTGCAATTAAAGCTGCTCTTTTAAGCAAACCAACTGGCTGGAAATTCTTCATCTTTCATTCAAGACTTCTTTAGTTCAGAATCCGCATGTTTACAGTTGGTGATTTATTGTCGATTTTCCTTTCCATTTGACAGTTCTTCATATCTCCCAAAGCACTGACTGGAGAGACGAAAACATCTATTGCTACTACTCTTTTTCTAACCCAAACCTTTAAAGATGTGTTTTGGATTCAGAAATGTACAAACCAGAGCTCCTGGAGGAAAGATACGGAATACGAGGTACCTGACTTTGTTTAGTTTTAAATATTGGGAGCAGTCTAGTTTACACTGTTGCATTCCTAGTTTTCATAATAGGATGGAATGAGTCTAATAAAGCCCCATTCATACAAAACCCAAGTATCCACACACTTCAATAATGAAAATATGATCTGTGGTGCTTTAGGATGAGGTCTGATGACAAAATACAAAATACACTATGAGCTGCATCATCAGTGCCTTTGAGACAGCAAAGAGAAGCCAAATAACGTTCATATGGGTTAAGGGTCTTAGATCTGAATAACCATCTTCTAACCCCTTACAGAGCTACTCTCAGTTAACCAGAATATTGAACAAACCAGAAGGCCCCAGGTTGCAATCATCTGAATGAAGATTCTGACTCTATTTTGGACGCCATGTTGGATTCAAGTCACTATTGTCCTCAAAGTGAATGATGGTTCCAGGTATGACAGTTCTGGGGAAAAGTAAGAATGGGATTGAAATCAAGACTAAAATAATTTGGCTGAAATTTGGCTGAGAATTACGTGTCCTTCATTTCCTTCTCCAGAGACCCAGGGTAGCTAAACTGGCTGTGTTATGAGCCCACCCCATTACGTGCATCGCAATAAAATGTGTGTGGAGGTAGGTCACCTATGTGGATGTAACCCATCCAAGAAAAGGCACCAAGAGCATAGAAAGGGTTAGAACCTACAGCCTAGCAATTGTGCTTCTGGAATTTCTCTTGAGCACATTACTCAAATAAGAAGAAAAGGTTAATGGATAAAGATGTCAATCATTATTTATAATAACAAAAAATTGGAACCAGCCTAAATGTCCAACAATCACAATAATTACAGTGAATTTTCAGTAACATAGGAAAATGTTTAAACTAAAATACCTAGTGAAAAAGCAAGACACAAATGTAAGAAAACATGCAATGTGGTACTCTGGATTAGCTCCTGGAATGGAGAAAGTCACTCACTGGTGGAAAAACGGATGAAATCCAAAAAAATATCTTGAGTTTCGCCAATACCAACACACTATTGGTGTCTCAGTTTTGGCAAATGTACTAGAGTAATGTAAGATGTTACCATCAGGGTAAACCGAGTAAAGGGTAGATGGGAACTCTCTGTACTATCTTGGAAAGTTTGCTTTGAACCTAAAATTATTCAAAATAAAAAGTTTAAGTCAAAAATAAATGTTAGGAGTGGAAGGAAGAAGACTGAAATAAACAAACAAAAATGTCAATAGTGGGTTATCCTCGGATTCTGGAATTAAGAGTGATGGAGATTTTCTTCTTCCTGTTTATAAATTCTCCATAAACACTACAATGAACAGACATCACCTTTATGATATGAAAAGAATCACGTGGTACCATAAAAACCACCTGTGGCCCAAGCTCTGACCAGGTTCAGCTGTACCTTGTGACAGTAGTGCACGGCGGACACAATCTGCCGGAAGAAGTGTCTGGTCTCCCGCTCACTGAGGCGTCGCCGCTCGCTGATGTAATCGTACAGCTCCCCTTTGCTTGCGTACTCCATGATGATCACAATCTTATCTTTGTTCTCAAACACTGTGGGGGGAGAGCAATGCACAGATAGTCTGTTTATCCAACAAGCTCGCTTCTGACTACAAAGAGTGTGAGAGAGGACGATGGAGATGTCTCTGAGCTGGGCAAACAGCTAGCGGCCAGGAGACAAGTCAGGCCATTCAATGTCACAGTGGGTTGGGCAAGTTTTCCAGCCAGGTGGACAATGACATCATCACTAGTGTTTCTGGAAACGCCTTCACAATGTTAAGGAGAACATGCCTCTTTTCGGCAGACCCCACCCCTTTACCAGGATCATTTCTCACAAGCCCGTCCCACTAGAACAGCTCCCCTGGAGATGGAATAATGGGTAATAGGACACATAACTACCACTTATTAACCATTTGATACAGACCAGCTACCCGGACCTATAAGCTGCTCTGACCCCAAAAGGGGTGGCTGAACTTGTGTCCTCTTTGCTCAAAACCTTCCAGACTGTTCATCTCACTCAAAATAAAACCCAAAGTTCCAAATGTGGTTCCCAGGTCCTGCATGATCCCGTGGACCCTTCTTAGCCCTTTTATATATCTATTCTGTATGTTTGTTTATTTTATCTCCCCCACTAGAATACAGCCAGCCCTGGTGTCTAGTAGTTAAGATTCAGCGCTCTCAGCGCCATGGCCCAGGTTCGTTTCCCAGTCAGGGAACCACACCACCCATCTGTCGGTTGTTAGACTGTGGTGGTTGCGTGTGGATGTGATGCTGAAAGCTATGCCACCAGGATTTCAAATACCAGCAGGGTCACCCATGGTGGACAGGTTTCAGCAGAGCTTCCAGACTAAGACAGACTGGGAAGAAGGTCCTGGCCACCCAGTTCCAAAAAATTAGCCATGAAAATCCTGGGAATATCAGTAGAGCATGTCTGATAGAGAGCCGGAAGGTGAGAGGATGGCGCAGGAAGACCAGGCAGGGCTCTGCCCGGCAGTACACAGGGGCGCTAGGAGGTGGAACTGACTCATGGCGCTAACAAACTAGAATATAAATGAGGGCTGGTCTGTTTCATTCACCGATGTTTCCCCAGCACTCAGAACACTATTTGTCACAGGGGCTCAATTAATATTTATTAAATGTGTGAACTCAAAACTTCATAGATGCATTCTGGACAATTACAGTAAATAATTACTTAGCACTTACCATGCACCAGGCTTCTGTAAGGTTTTGAGTACCTGACACCACGTACTGACTCATTTAAATCTTACAACAAACTATCAGGAAAATATTTGTCATTTTACCACTTGAAAAACGAGGAAGCTGAGGCCTAGAGAAGTTAAGAAACTTGCACAGCCGGCAATCAGGCCGTTCGGCTGAACCACTAGACTAGGCGGCTTCTCAATCGGCTCATTTCTGGCTTCCAGCGTGGGTGGGGAGCCGTCTCGTGTTCTGCCAGGACCACTGTAGTCACCTCAAGCTGGTCTCCCAGACTCAGCCCTTCCCACCCAACCTCCACACCACCACGGAAATCGTTTTCCAAAATGCTTGTAAACGCTTCTCTCTCCTCAACCCTGATGCTCTATAGCAATGATCCTCAAACTCTGCTGGACGAAGTGCTTGTGAGTTCCAGGCAGATGCCCACGCAGGCGGGTGAGGGGAGGCACAAGGCTCCAGGTCCTCAGCACCCCCTCAACAAAAGCCACTCCACTGCTATCTGTCCCCTCCTTCGGGCTTTCACATAAGACGTCCTTTGAGCCAAGACAAATTAATAATACTTGTTTTGAAATCCATCACTCCCAAGGGATATGGTAAAAACCTTTGTAGGGGGGCTGGCCCTGTGGTATACTGGTTAAGTTCAGCACACTCTGCTTCAGCAGCCCACATTCATGGGTTCGGATCCCCAGCACGGACCTACACCACTCAACAGCCATGCTGTAGCAGCAACACACATAGCAAGCAAAAAAAGAGGAAGATTGGCAATGGATGTTAGCTCAGGGCTAATCTTCCTCAGCAAAAAAAGCAAAAACAAGAACAAAAACCTTTGTAGGGGACCCAAGACCCTCCCTGAAGGACCCTGCCTACCTCCCACCATCTCATCAGCTTCTACTATTTCCCATTAGGCCCCCCATGCCCACTGATGCAGGGCTGTTTGCTGTTTCTCACAATCACTCACTCACACACAGAGGGCTATTTCACACCTCCACACTCTTCCCTCTGCCTTTACTCCTACCTGTCTTTCCTGCCAGGGAAACTCCAAATCACCAGTCAAGACTGACCTCAAATATGGCAGCCAGTGTGCTTCCCTCTGCCTCTCCCTGTACTAATCAATCCATTCCTCTGCCTGGACAGTGAGCCTGGACTTTGAGAGGTAAAAACTGTAGCTATGGAATCAGATACTCCAAGCAGGATTCCTGGATCTGCCTCTTTCTGTGTGACTCTGGGGGAGTGGCTTGCCCTCTCTGTGCCTCAGTTTAGTCAACTGTAAAATGTAAATAATATTAGTAAGTACTTCTTAGAACTGTTGGGAGAGTTTATTGATATGGGGTATGTTATAATGCTTAGAACAAGGCCTGCACTTACGGCACGCACTCAATAATGTTAGGTCTTATCGTTGGTATTAATATTATTGGACCCCAGGGCCTAGCACTGAGCCAGACACACAGACACACTCAGTGAGAACTGAGCTGAACTGGAACATGCCCCAGGCCTGGGTCCCCTGTCCTCCCACACCTTGTCACTGGCTGCTAGAAGCTCAGGCCCCTCCAGTTCCTTTTTGGCTCCTTCAAGTCCAGCCAAAGCTCTCTGATAAAATGAAGGGGGAAAGGGGGAGGGCTGGGAGGAGGAGGAGAGAGAACAGCCAGATAAACTTGGCTGCTCCCGCGTCTGCTGGCCTCCGTGTACCCTGCAGCCTCGGCTCCTGCCAGGGATTTCAGCCTGTTGTGCACTTTTCATTAACAATAAACTGTGGAAACTGCAAAAGCTGCCTCGGGATGCATGGCTCAGGCTCCGAAAATGATAAAGATGTGCCCTGGAGAGGCCAGCGGGTTTTCTAATTTTAAAAACGGGGAAGGAAGAAAGAGGGAAAAGTACTTTGACAGAGAAACAAACAAGGAGGCTCACAGCCCAAAAAGTCTGATGCATCCTTAAAGGAAGCCAAAGCCACTGGCCCTTCAGTGACTGTCAGAGGGTGTGCGGGTCACGTGCCTCATGCAGACAAAAGGACTGTTTCAGTGACTGGATTTGTCCTGTTCCAACTGGCTGACTTGGTATCAAGGAGATTTAAACATAATTCATTTCAACACAGTTCGATACGCCAAATATTTTACTAAGCAGTTTCCATCAGTAAGTGCTGGTCCTCCCTCTAAAATGCATCCCAACTTTGTCCACCCGTCTCCCATGCCCGGCCACCCTTCCCCTAAATCCCCAGCCCCACTGGTCTCCTGCCTGTCACTCCTGTCTCTCTGCTGATTGCATCTGGAGGGACTGTGGAACAGTTGCAAATGCATCTGCCATGGAGCACTAGTCCTGCAAGATATTCTAGAGAAACAAAAGGGTTTCATGGTCAAACACAGGGAAAATTTTTAGAAAACGCTAATACTCGATCGCCCTTGGAGAGTCTGGCTTTAACTTAGAGTTTTGCGGGTTGATTCGGCCATTTCCACATCCTATTTACATCCAGAGGAACCAAGCAGGAGCCAGTTTGGGTAACACCGGATGAATGAGACAATATCCGAGTGATAAAATCGGCCCTCACTGTGGCAGGCGGGGCTGGTGGGCAGCCAGGTGAGAGAACTGTCCACGCGGCCAGGGCTGACTCTGGGACACCACCGCCACCCCTCCTACAGGAAGCAGCCCAAGTCTTATGGTCCAGGCCCCGATTATAACCCTAGATTACTAAATGCAAACAATCTCTCTAGACTTAGAGCATCAATGATTCATCAAGGAGGCCGTGTGGGGTTTTTCTCAAAGCTTCTTGAACTCTTCCTAAACAGAGCAGCATTTCTTGAAGGCCTACTATGTGCAGGCACTGTGCTAACAGCATTTGCATGAATTACGTCATATGGCTTTGGTCCTATGAGAAGCCTGGTTCCACAGACGAGAAAGCCTGGGTACAACGAGGTTAAAAACCGCAAGGGCCACAGAGCAGGTAGGAGGCAGAGCCAGGCCTGGGCGTGCAGTCTGACCACACACTCCACGCTCTTAGCCGCCATCCTATTATTCACATACATTGACCTCCCTGAACCTCAGTCTCTTCTTCAGTCAAATGAGGCTAACAACTTCCTCACATGGTTACGGGGGATTCCGTGAGCTCATAGGTCCAGCGCCCTCAGCACGGTGCCTCCGCCAGTCCTCAAAAAATAACAGCTCTTCTCCTAATTCCTTCACCTGCCTCTTCGGCACCTCTGGCCAAACAAACCCATAGACTTTCCTCTCCCCACTGGCATTGCTCTTTCAAACATGCTGTGGATGCCGCAGAATCACAGGATTTTCAAGCAGGAAGAACCTCAGAGATCAGCTATTATTTTTCCAGAACAGCCCAGGATTTACAACATATAAGAACAAGGCCTTGGGAATTTGTCCTGAAGAATGACCAGCTTCCGCCCCGCTGGCCCAAGGCTCCTCGCCCACCGTAAGGTCACTATCAACGAGGTGAGAGGAACACTCTCAGCCATTCTTCTGGCAAAAAGGGCCGCTTCCCTTGGGCACTTTTGCAACTGGTTATTTATAAGCCCAGAAATCTTGTCTGTGTTTATGTTATTAGTCACTAAGCAAAAGCTTATTTTCCACCAGTTGGGAAGGGTTTCCTTTCTGAAAAATGAAAGCCTGTGTCTCTTGGCCAGACAGTTTTACCCAGAAGCCCGGTGGCTCCAGAATGGTAAGGCAAACTATAGCCCTTGACATGCCAGGCCTACCAGGAAAATTAAAACCTTGAATAGAAACTTAGCTCAGCTTGAGTCAGCCCACAGCACTGGGGCCGTGTCCATTTGCTGCGAATCCTGGTTTTTAGTATACCAATAAATTTTTATAAAGCACCCACTATGTAGATGGCACCG